GTTCATAAAGTTAGAATACTTTTATTTCAATCTAACAAGTTTTAAAGACTTAATAAGACTTGATAACTTAGCACTCTTATGTTATCATATTTGATAACTTTTGAAAGCATTAGCAAATCACGTATTTAGATAAATGAATTATTAAGAAGAAATAATTAGTTATTAATAATATTTATTTGTCTCAAACAGTTTTAAAAAAACAAATATAAATTTTTGGAATTGGTATAATAATTATCGAACATTGATTTCAGATTCGAAGTCTTCCATCTTTCATGTATTTTCATGGAATGTATGGAAAGTTGTAAGTTTTCTAATAATTTTGTGATTAAAATATATTATGCAAATGTAAATAATAAACCTATTATGGCTTATATTTTATTTGGTTTAAAAATACAAGTATTTCAAAGATTTTCAAAATTTACAATTCATATACATTAAAATTTTTTTGCTACTGTAAGTATTTTGCACAAAGATATAAAATTTAAGCTGAATTAAAAATGCATGCTAGATTAATCATTACAATGCAAATTTAAGATCAAAAATTATTTATTTATTTAAAGTTCTTCTATTTAATAAAAAGGCGCCAAGTATGAAATTTTTCTATTTACTTTGCAATTCATACTTTGCGCCTTTTTTTATTTAAAGGAATTTCAGACATATTCTACAAAGATTGCAATAAACACTTTAAATTCGCAAAAAACATCATTACTTCAATTTTAGTATTGAAAATTATTAAAATATCATTACAAGTTAAGAATTTTGACTTCAGAACTTGGGACAAATTAAATGACATGTGCTGCAATGATACTGACCCAAATCGACCAATAACACAATGTCCATTTGATAAATTTGTAACCATTAATAGATGGGGCTCTATAGAACCGAAAAGGGAAACACCTGCCATTTATGCTTGTGGTAAATTGGTGAAAACATTAGTGCAAACTTGGGTTCAAGAAACCTTGTGTGTTTTCATTTATATCTTACTTCTAGATCAATTCTTACTAACTTATTTATTTACTTACTTAATTAATTAATTAATTACTAACTTATTTATTTACTTACATACTTACTTACTTACTGATGATAATGAATTAAGAAGAAGTTTGATTATTGTCTAGAAATTCAAATTGCTACATTGTTTTCCTATTATTTATTTTCACCTTTCTTATTGTTTAGTATTTTATGGGAAACAAATGGGCAATATTTTACTAAACGAATTAAATAGTAACCTTAAAGTTTAACTACAGCAAATATCTTATCAATTGTTCACAGCAAATTATTTAGCAAATTTTAATGTCAAGAAAAATTTATAATTAGTAGAAATAATTTAACGCTTACGGTTACTTTTTATAGTGACAATTTTACTATATATTACAGAAATGATGTATACAATTTATATCAAGACTGCTATGAACAGCAACAATCCATCTTTCCATTTGCTGGTAACAATCGCCAAAAAGTATCACAGTTATTAGATGAAATACAAGAGAAACACGCTGAACTACCACCCAATATTAGATTAGCTTATATGAAAGCTATGGTAAAGATATACTCCATTTTTTGTAATTAATTATACTAGTTAAATTTTGATGCTTAGTAGTTTTTAAATTATTGTTCAGTCAGTTCAGAGATGTTAATGCTAAGTAATTAATTATACAGGTTTACTTCATTAAACCGTTAGAGTTAAAATATATTTAATACTGATTTCTCATACTTATTGAAGTTCGTTGAACATTAGTAGGGGTCAGATTTATCAAAAATATATTCTGATCCTTTTTCAAAAAATTGCAAATCTTTGGCTATTATGCAAAATTTCACTAGTAATAATTAAACTAATGATCGTTATTTGCAGCCGTGGTTTACGTTTACGTATTCAACTGATGCATTAGGTGGTTTTCCTTGTTATATGATGTATGCTGCCACAAAGTACCTTAATCAAAAACTAGTCCGTGAAGCCTTACACGTGCCTGACTATGTCAGCAAATGGAAGTTTTGGTAATTACTCTTATTTCACTTAAATAATTATCGTATATCATTTTCGTATGCTTTGTTATGCACTGGGTAAGATATATGGATGAAGCTTCTATATTGCTTTAAATTTAAATTACTTTTAATAATTAGTAGATTTTAAAGGAATTAATCAGCTTCTGTATGACATAAAATTAAAATTAATTTTCCTATAAACTATTTTAATGATAAATATGTTCAAAGATAATATTAATTTTTATCTCAATTCAAATTTCAATATAATTTTAGCGTATTGCTTTTTTAAAATGTATATTATCTTTCTTATTCAATTACAAACACGATTCCTCTTACAGTATATACAATACTTTTATTTATTTTTCAGCACTTTTCTAAATTATTACAAGCAAGTAAATGACACAAAAGATTACTTCAAAAATATCCTCGAAAATATTGAATATCCCTTACATGTGTTGATTTATGTTGGCGATACAGATTCAATCTGTAGTATGAGTCAATCAGAATGGTTTGTAGAGGACTTCGTCAACAACAATAAGATGGTTTCACTTTACTTTTGTCATTCATTGTATTAGAGTTCATTTTCAATATGCTTAGATCAGATAGATAATTAAAATAATCTTCTCAAAAAATACCACCAAAGTATAATTTTTAATCTTTTTTCAAGTACGATTTTTCAGAAAGCTAAGCGCGAAACAACTCCTTGGTTCTATCGTTTATCAGAAAAGTATGAGTATCAAGTTGGTGGCTACTGGAAACGATATGTGAAAGATTATCTTACATTAGATATGCTTACAGTTAAGGTAAAGTCAGTCAAATTAGCTGGTTGATCCTTAACGGATAATAATCTATAAAAAGTTATGGATTTCGTGCAATCTACTAAATTATCAAACAGTATATTTTGCGTACCATTTTAGGGTGCTGGACATATGGTACCAACTGATCGCGCTGGTCCTTGTCTTCAAATGATTACTAATTTTGTTCATGGCAAAGACTACGGCGAAACTTATCTATTCAACTATGAAAGAAAACCATTGTTACCAGATTTTACTGTAAGTTATTTCATATAGTATTCAAATTTAAAGAGCATTGTTGAAGTTTAAATGCATTTTGCCTTTAAAACAGTTTCAAACATTGTCTCTCATATCCATTTTGATTGATTATAAAGAGTCAATTCAACCATAAAAAAGTTCATTGTTGTATTGAAAGAAATTTCAATATAAAAATAGTAATTGTACATAAATTTACAGTTTCTGTTGTACAGTAAGAATATAATTTGTAGTAAACTCTCCCAAAATCCATTAATGTCAATTTCTGATTATCAAAAAAAATAATGACTTTCTCATGTTGTGTACTGATGATTATTGATTCCAAATAAGGAGGAAAATAGTACGTAAAACGATGGATATATTGATTGAGCATAGTTTGGTAATAAATAGTACATTTATACTGAAGTAAAAATTTCACGTAAAATTTTTTGGATGACTGTACTGATGACAGAGCTGAAATGCTTACATAAGAAAGTTGAATAATTGGATAATACAAATATGAGACTCATAAAAAACTAGGTTAAGTAATTAATTTGGATAATATAAATTGGAAGTTAAAAGTATAATTAAATTAATTGATATAAATACGTGAAAAGCGTGAATATTTGCATTAGACTATTTGTATGATCGAAATTATATTGCAATTATTTATTGTAATTTTAAATTTGTAATTTTAATATAAAAAATCAAAGAATGATTTTGATTTAAGCCTTTACCGACAGAAACAATACAAACAACTACTCGTATTAGCACTGTTACATCGATTTCAACAGGTACGATTGATTAATGTTAATTAGTAATGATAAAGTTGAATAAATGTTAATTGATTATACTTTTATAAAGTAGCAAATTACAGAAGTAACAACGAAGAGAAAAGGTGTTGCAGCCGTGACCGTGACGTACTCTGTAGCGTTGCTTTTGAACCTGCTTCTGATTACTATGAAATTCATCAATGTTTTTTGAACTTTTCAGTGATTCAGTTTCTTCATCTCCACGTGGTACTAAGTGATATTACGTGCATTTGTTTTCATCACTTGTTCTTGGGTTTGACTTTTTCACATCTCAAGTCTTTTTTTATTATAAGAAGAATATATTTTATTCATGGCATGAGAGGATATTAAACTAGATACTAATTATAGTTATATCATATCATCAGCCAATGCTCTGTTATTTAGTCTTTTTTGAACAGTTTTGGTTTCTTCTTCATGTTTATCTGATATAGTATGAAGTTCATTTGTGTGATTTGAACAGGAATATGGCGCGCACACTTATCTTATTCAATCATAAAATATATTAAATATGTTGAAGTGTATGGCAAAAATTGAAACATTTTTCATCAGAATCAAAAATGATTGTTAGATTTGAAAGACTTTTTAGCCACTAAACAAAACTGCTGAAGTACTACATGAACCCTTTGTGGACTGTAACAAAATTTTTGGTATATATGAAATAAGCAAAGCTAATAGTTGAAAGTAATTGAATGTTTGATTTTTAAAACAAACAGAAATGTCTTTTTTGAACACATTGCTTGGACTTCATTTTTTGAAGGAAATGGACTATGTATTATGGAAGTTACCTTCACTAAAATAAATTTACGGTTTCATTTTAGGTCAAACGAAAGGTTGAATGTGCAATAATCATCGAAACCTTTATTCATAATATTTTATCTTTGTGAACTTTAATTTTAGGATATAGAATAATTCTATTATTCAATTACAGATGAAATTTTTTATTGTCATTAGTTGATTGAAAATAAATTGTAACTTTTCATTCAGCTGCTGACAATTTTACTGTAAATTCACCGTACAAATCAGTATGGAGAGCACCTGGTTTGAATGGTTTAGTGTAGTCTGTCTCAGCAGCATCCACCATATCGAATAATATCACCAAACGATCAGCTTTTGGTTTCCCAGCCTATATTTAAAAATGATGGTGCTAAGAAAGCACGTGATTCCATTACTGCTCCTCTAAGATTACGCTTTATCTACTTTCTTAGCACAAAATAATCCTTATTCTTCATTTTTTTTTAAATTTCTAGCATATTAGGATAATTTTTGTAGATTAAATTTACAATTCGTGTTATCTCCATTTTTATTTGTCCACCAACTTCAATAAAGCCCATATTAGGATTTACTCGATAATTTGAATTATTCGTAGATTTTACCTGAAAATTTTAAAGTGAATTTTCTCACTTACTAATAAAATTAATGCAAAATAAAATTTGAAGGAAATTGCTTTAATCATCTACAATTAGCGTAGCAAACTTTGAAAGCAAGACGAGCTGCAGCTTGATTAATGAGTAGATGTTCTGATCTACCACCAGCTGCTGAAATGGGACAGGTCGGAGGTTCTACGGCTAATGCTTTCGTTGACATTTTGCGAGTCACACAACCTCACTGCTTGTTGTTAATAAAAATTATTGCAATGATAAAAAATTATTTCAATTTTCCATTTGTTGACGTTATGAGTAGTATTAAATTTGCATTATTTTATTAATTCATCTCAATTACTTATATCAAAAAAGTGAGAAAAATACTTGTATTTATTTGTATTTTCGCAATGCGTGAATACTTGTTTGCTTGTAAAATGCAGAATTTTATTCAAATACTGTACAGATGACTGCAAAATAATCAGTCAGTTTTACGAATTACTGCTGAATGCTAAAACTATCATAGTATCACATCGTAAGGCTTATCTGAAAGTTTTTATTGTGTTATCAATAATGTGATAAATGACTGCTTGAAAAAATAAGAGAGAAAAAATTAAAATAGAAATCAAACCTCAACAGCAAAAGTGATAACGAAGTATTCAACATGAAAAAATTTGAATGATCATCAGTTATTTACATCATTTACCTTGCTTTACTCACCATCTGAAACGTCAAGTTCCAGAACTACGCAGAACTACTCACATTGCAAGGCAAAAATAAGATTAAAAGCTGCATTATTTTGCGTGTACAATTTTACATGACATCTGTATCCTGATAAAATATCGTGGATTAATTATGCGCCAGTATATGAATATGACAAAGTATTATGTAAAAATTTTTTTCTATTTTAGTTGCTTACTTGTTGAGAACAAGTAAAAAAACTGAATTACTTTACATGCACTAAAATGTATATTAAATATACGTTTAATATATAGTATACGTTTTAATTATTAATATACGAAAATATGTTCATACAATAATTTTGTATATTAATATATATTTTTGTATATTAATTATACGTTTTAAGAAATTGATAATCTAAAAACTATTTCAAGAAAACAGTAATTTTTTTTACTCGATCAAAACAAAATACAGTAAACACATTTTGATTTTTTTAAAATATATTTTTCAAAACATTTTATCAGGAATACTTTTTAATTTTTTTATCTTATAAATAAATGGATTCATGACAATTTTTCAAGCATTTTTTGTATTAAAATATATAAATATTATGTTAAAAATTATTATAAATATAGTCAGTTATGTTTAATTTGAATAATTCATTGAATTAATTAATTGCTGAAGTAATTTCTGTCACATTAAAATATAATAGCAAATGAAGCAATCTTAGAATTCGTTGCTAGCAATCACATTAATAATCATTGTGGTAGTATAAAATGCATATTTTTTTTATTCGTTTAATTTATAGTCGTCATAATATTTAATACTCAATTTAATAGTTCCTTCCAATATGAAGAAGAAGTGATAAAATACTAACACAACGTGTAATGCAATAAATTCTTGATAGTACAAATGAATACAGTAGTTTTGTAATTTGTCAGATATTTGTCTTTGATAAAATAAAAATATTTTTTTTTGTTAAGCAAAAATACGTTTTGCATACTTAGCTTTCATCAACTAATCATTCATTGCCAATACTAGTTTAGTACTTTCGGCTATCAATTTAGTATTTTTGGATATAAATTAATTAAATCTATTAATTACTTTAAAAATTTAATACATTAAATAATTTACTTTGTATATACTTTTTCATGTTGCACATATTTATTATCTAATTTATTTTTCTAAATTGTTTACATCAAACTTTATTATCTTTTTTTCCAATAAAAAATTTACATTAAAGTTTAGTACAAATTTCGTAGAGTAAAATAAAGCATTTAATCAGTTAAAATTATCAGTAATTGAATTATCAATTAGCCATTTGAAAGATACAAACATCTAATATCAAAAAACAATATTTGAGATTTGTTATCAGTAAAAAAATGTATTGAACTTTTAAGCATCATTTTGATTATTCTTTTTTGGCTCAAAGAATTATCAGTAAAACATTTGGTATTGCAGTTTATAATCTTTTACAGATTGAGAGAGTGATAACATATGCATTGATAATAAATGATATGCCTTATAACTTTACAAATTAGTATTTACAACTGATGTGGACTGTGGCTTCATAATTATGATCAAAATCATTCCTTTTTTTCGTATTATAACCTTTTTTCAATTATTTTCATTTATATTCATTAATGGCAAAGTACCGGCGGATAAAATCAGGGACTTACCAGGCTTAACATTTGACCCTGGCTTTGATCAATATTCCGGATATCTTTCAACACCATCTGGAAACAAACTTCACTATTGGTAAGATTAACTAACCTAGTTACTCCTGAAACCAGTATATGTCAAATTTTTAAAAAATAATTTGCAAACGATTTTATATTATAGTGTTCATGAATGTTTATAACTTATCATGGTTTTATGCTAAAATGTTCAAAATTAACAGTACAGTTTTGTTTGTTTTACAAATTAAAACTTCAGTTACTGTCGA